GCACGACCCTTCTGGAAGGAATCCCCCTTCCCCCGACCCCTGGAGAACCAACGAGTCAGACATCGGAAGACAGCTGAAAAAAGCCACCTGCATATACTGCTCAACCACAGAGTCCACAAACAGCAAGGGACAAAAGGGCAAAGAAAAACTAAGAGCCAGTGCTCAAGCAGATTCCAAGGAGGAGGCGAGCACAGTTTGCCAACACACGAGATGTGCAGCGAAAAACCACAATACTGCATCCAACAAGATCGGGCCAAACAGTTTCAGTGGAGTGGACAACGCACGAAAAGCAGAGATCAAGGTACCAGACCTGGAAACGGCACCAAGCCCCTCTACATCCTCCGCAAGCCAATCTAAAGACACCTCTAGAAGGGACAAGAAACGCAAGACCGAAGCCAACAAGCCTCGAGTGCCAAGTCCTCAGCCACAAGCGCAGCCAACAAGGAGGGAACTTGCACATGAAGCCGAATCGTGCCTACATCCTGTAGAAGGGCAGGGATGAACAAGCACGCTTAAGGTGCTTAAATTCCCCCCCCCCCCCCCGCCCAGGTAAACCTGGACAACCGTCAATGCCTCGCACCACTCAAGCATGCGGAAATGACAAAAAGCACTCCAAGCATCCAACGACAACAATGGGCAGTCTGCAAGCCAGGACGACTCCGGAACCTCATAATGAACGCAGTATGGAGATGAAGGCCCAAACCTGAAGGAAGATGGATCCATTATAGAGGCATAATTCGGGTCGCACAGGAGGTAACCCACAATGGCTGCCCGCACCTCAGTAGGCGAGACGTGGGAAGCCGAAAACCTCTGGTAGGACGGGACCGAAGGACCCGCAGGGATACAGAACCAAACCCGGGGAGAAGCCGAACCCAAATCCAACTCGTAAGCGGAGGGGGTGATAAGAAAATCCCACTCCTTGTAAGAGAAAGCCCCGCTCTGAGTGTTGGAAAACCCAGGTGGGGTCCAACAGGGCCCAGGCCCCCTAGTCAGCTCCTCTCCAACCCCGGGATCCTACACATCAGGCCCTGGAAGCGAGTCATCCTCCAAAACCCCAGCCTCACAAGAAAAAGCCAGGGCGGCCGGAAAAGCTGGAAGAGAAAGGGGCCCTCTGGTCAGACCCCAGAGCCACAGGTGGAGGAATGGACTTGAATGCCTCCATCACCATCCCAGAAGGGGTAACCCCCATAACTGCCCGAGTCTCAGGAATCTCTAAACCCCGCCCCAACTCCGAAGCTCTCAGACACTTTGGAGCCGGAAGCAAGGGGGGGGGGGGGAAGACAGAATGAACCACAGTAGGGGAAGAACGAGGGGGTACGGACTGAATCAACGCCGAAGCAACCAACATCCCCAAGTCTGGGTCCCTATAAGCAAAGCAGGGCAGCCTCAGGGCATCTGTAGAAGCAGCCAACCTAGTACATTACAGCAACCTATACCTAGCATACAACGCCTGAGCCGCCTGTACCTAAATAATGCCATCAGTTGATTGGGTGAATTGAGTCACAAACAAGCAACAATGCTTGCAGGACTCAGGGTCGAAGATGTCACCGACCCAACAGGCAGCATGACGAAGGCAACAACAATGAGCATCGCCCTGAGACAAGGGGACAGAGCAATCTTCAAACTTGCACAAGGCAAGAGGGAACCCAGGAGTCGCATGCATTGAACCCTGTGCACCCCCCGCAGGGTTTCCCATGGCCCCTAGACTGGTATAAGGGTAAGCTTAGGCAGGGTACTGCTAACCGGCAACCCAAGTCTACCTACAAACTTCTAAAACTGAACCTCCGGGCCGTGTCCATTCACAGGGGCCAAGCAGGGGGTACCACCGAACACCAGAGGTCAAGACCTTAATATAACTGGGAGCAAGGGACACAAGGCAGACCCCTACTAGGCAGAAACAAAAAGGAAAAGAAAAACCCCGTAAGAGGACAACGTACCTAGGAGGAACAGAACCGGCCGCTGTAATAGGTGAAAACTAGCTGCGCAGTACCAGTGTAAAAACTACCACTTACCCCAAGGTAAACATGGGAGGAAACCCCCCAACACACTCGGGGCGGTCAATCACCAAGCAGCAAAAGACCAATAGAGGTGGACCCTAAGGTAACTTGTGGAAGATAACCCCAAGCCCCAAGGGTGGTACTTGCAGGGAACTCAGGGAAGGAAACCCTAAGCACTTACAGCCCGAGTACCTGTAAATATTACTCCCAGCATGCACACCACCGTAAGAGCAGTACTGGACACAAGGTACAGCACAACACAAAGAGAATCTGGAGCTGGAACCACACGACCATGTCACAATCACATCAGCCGAGAACTGGAGGGTGGATCGCTGGCAGGTAGGTATGGGGCTTCCCCTTCCTGGGGAGGGGGGAGCTGCGCAGACATGCGGCGCAGCTCGTGTGACGTCGTGCTCGTTTGCTCCTTTTCATTTGGGGAGTTCTGTACCCTCGTTTGTCTATTTTAGTCGTTTTAACCAGAATAGGGGTTTGTTATGAGGCACTTAACTTTCTGGGTGCCTCGCCCGGTCGATACCCAGCCACTTGGGCTGGACGGTAGAGCGACGGTCTCGCTTCATGCAGGTCGGCGTTCAATCCCCGACCGTCCAAGTGGTTGGGCACCATTCCTTCCCCCCTTCCCATCCCAAATCCTTATCCTGACCCCTTCCAAGTGCTATATAGTCGTAATGACTTGGCGCTTTCCCCCTGATAGTTCCCTTCCCTTCGTCCGGTCGATGGCAGACATAGAATGCTCCAAATCCCATGTGCTTTTCTATAAGCCATTGCTCCTCGTGCCTCTCTCAGGGGGGGGGGGAGGATGGCTTGTGGTCCCCGGTAGGCCTAGAACTCCATACACACTGACTGATGCCAAAGTCTAATGATATAATATCACCCTGGATAGCTCCGGGGAGAAAGGGCTTCCCCAGAAATCATCAAGAATTATGAGGGACCTTTGACAAGCCTTTAGTTTTTGTGGCTCTTTTAGGTCCACTAAACATTCTGATAACCACATAAATATGATAAATGAAAATATGAACACAAGATAGAAAAAATGGTTAAAATGTAATTACAGTGAAGAGAACAAAGGTCCATAAATTTAAACGGCTGGAAAAATGGGTTGGAAAATGAAGCTGAAAGAGAATACAGTACAGTACTGTATACTGTAGTTCTTTAGCTATATGTTTAGTGACTCACATATCAGCCACCTCACCACACTGTTACGAACCCGAGTCCAGCGTCGGAGCACGGAGCAGTGACGACAACGCCATCTATGAGTCTGCTCCCGAAACCCACTCCAAATGGACGACGCCATCTAGTGGTGACAGGATAGGCCAGCAATAAGTGTTGGATTCCTGTCCTAGTCAGCTCACGACATAGCCGCTACTGACCTCAGGTGAGGTGGTGCTTAGGCAGTGAACGCCATCTATGGAGTGAAGAGGTGGACGTTTCTGTCTAAGCTTGTGAGTGAAGCGTCCCAGTATTAATGACGTGTCTGATTGCAGAGTCGACCTGGGACTGCTGTGTTGGACGATGGATCAGTCTACCCAAGGCAGCCAAGGTCTCTTCACGAGTCTGCTTTGAAGAAGCTGTGAGCCACCCCCGGACGAACTCTGTTGAGAGTGTAATAGCCTGCCTGAGGCGTGGCAGTGTCGGGAATCGCCTTATCCGGGGCTGGCTGGTGGAAGAGACTAGCCACTGTGGTGCTTAATGAGGAGAGTGATCAGCGGGTCACACGAGGCTCCTGCCTAGGGCTCGCAACCCTAGTATTAGTTGTGGAGTGGCCTGACAGCGAGGCTGACCGGTACCTGCCAGCTACAGGCTGGATTGTGGTTGAAGGCCATTACGACGGGACACCCAGTGGGACTGTGATTTGGCTGGCCTGTGGCCAGGGTAGATTCGTCGTAGTTATCGTGGATTCATCGTGAGCCACGGAAGCAGAGACCAGGGCTACCTAGAAGCATCGCCGAGTGTTGAGCGTCTTCGGAGAGGGAGACCTCATTGTACATTGTGTAGTAATAATTCCGTTTTATGACTTTAAATTACGGTGGTGGGAATATATATTTATAAATTAGAATACTTGTCTTCAATATACCTTCCTTGATAGCTTTGACTTGCATTATGGAACACACCCCTTGAAAGCCTCTACTAACTTGGGGCCGGATTCCCAAACTCTACTACCATCAGAGAAGAACTCGATTGCGTCCCAGTAGGGCTGTAACTTACTACTATATAGTAAGAAATATAGGAAAAAATAGACCACACAAAACTTACAAATTATGTGGAAAGGATTTACAGAACTCTAACAAAGAACGAGACCTAGGAGGTGGTTTTGGATAGTAAGCTGTCGCCAGAGAACACATAAAGAACATTGTCAGAGGAGCGTATGCATCACCTTCCAACTTGTGACTTGCTTTAAATTACTATACATGGATGGTGAAATACTAAAGAAACTGTCCATGACTTTTGTGAGACCAAAATTGAAATATGCAGCAGTTGTATGGTCAACAAATCTCACGAAGAACATAAATAAGCTGGAAAAAGTGCACTGGCATGCTACAAAAGGGCTTCTGGAACTGAAAAACAAGAGTTACGAGGAGAGACTAGAGGCGTTAAACATGCAAAAACTAGAAGATAGAAGAAAAAGAGGTGATATGATCACCACTAACAAAATACTAGCAGGAATCGACCAAATTGACAAAGAGGAATTCCTGAAACCAGCAACTTCACGAACAAGAGGACACAGATTCAAGCTAAGGTAACAAAGGTGCTAAAAAATATTAAGTCTTCTTTTGCAAACAGAGTGGTAGACAGTTGGAACAAGCTAGGTGAGAAGGTGGTGGAGGCCAAAACCGTCAAGGCATGAATGACAATAAACAATGGCTAAACACATACGAGCATACTGCTCCTTTAATATAAGTAACAAAATACTCTATATTTTTGCTGCATGTCTATACTAATAAGACAAACCCAATTAAAATAAGGTACACCTGTGCGTATACATACCGAAGGTCCGGGTTCACCTCGAGGGCCAACTGGTCCAACAGAACCGGTGTCTCCCTTGGGTCCCGGAATACCACGTCGACCATTCAATCCTCGCTCGCCTCGGTCTCCTGCAACCCAATACTCTTACAGAAAACAATTCCCGCTCTGAGGTGTTTATATACTGTTTGCATTGACAAGCATATAACTGTAACATAGAGGATAACAAGAAGTTAAAATAAGTATAGTATGAGTACTAAACCTTGTTCTCCTTTGGCTCCTGGTTGGCCTGGAGTACCGTCGAAACCAGGTGGTCCTAGTAGTCCTGGAGGTCCTTGGGGACCTTGTTCACCGGCAGGACCATTGACCAACACTGCATCACCAGGTACTCCTTTGGCACCAGGTACCCCTTGGGGCCCCGCGGGTCCAGGTTGACCAGGCAGCCCGCGGTCACCATTGTCTCCCTTAGGACCAATAGGGCCCTGTGGGAACATAAATGTTTTAGCACTTGGCAATGTACTAACAGACACATTCATAAAGACTGATAATACAGTACTGTACATGTATATAATTATAAAGTATAATCATCAAGACTTAGAAAGTGTTTTATTACAGAGCATTACTCATCACTAGGGATACATATCAGTATTATTATTATTATTATTGTTATAATAATAATAATAATTATAATAATAATAGTAATAATAATAATAAACCCCTGTTGTAAGACATGTTGATCTTCACCCGTTCGTTCTATGTAACATGTAAGACATGTTGACCTCCACCCTGGTGTAAGAGACATGTTCTAGTGCCCTCGCCGTTATAAACTGAAAAAGATATATAACATTCTTTTCGATTGTCAAACATTAGCTATTTTATAAGAGTAGCCGCTCCAAGCACACACCAGTAGAACACCTACAATGAGATACAGAGTTGTGCTTACCACAGGGCCTAAAAGACCTCGGGGTCCTTGGGGTCCCTGGGGTCCAATAAGACCCCGACTTCCGATTTCTCCCTGTCGACCTGGTGCCCCTGGTAGGCCAGCACTTCCCTGGTGGAGATATACCAACTTTACCTTCACGAATACCACAAGAATTTCTGTATACAGTATATACCAATATATTAAACTTTATATCCACAAGTGCAATTCTTAATTATCTAATATTGAACAAGGAAGTACATGATAACGACAAGCAGTTTTCGAAGCGTTAGTTAAAAAAAATGTTCGTGCAATATATTGAAGTGTTGCTCAAAAAATAGATGAGCGGTTGGTATATGGACACGTACTGGAGGTCCAGGCACTCCAGGCTCACCCTTGGCGCCACGGAAGCCGGGTATGCCAGGGTCCCCAATGGGTCCTGCCGGGCCAGGCTCGCCACGCCGACCCCTCCGACCCTGATAATGAAACATTCACACAACCACACTGTTACTCTCATACCACAGGATAATGAAAGCCAGGCACAGAACAGCTTAATTATAGGCACACAAGGGAGCTGAGGGCACTGCTGTTTGGTGCCTGTAGCTCATGGAGGTTGCCCAGGCATCAACACGCTCAGCTGACATGACTGTCACTCTTCTGTCAGCTGTCCTGCCCAACTCCAGATTAACTAAATCTGGGTTAAATAAGAAGAGAAGTGTGGCGAGCCACGGGTCACTATGGTACGTGAGAGGCAGCCGGTCTGGCCAACCTACAGGGAAGCCTATGCTGCCGGGTTCGCCATTCTCTCCAGGTGGGCCGGGAGGACCTTGTTGGCCTGGGAGGCCTCGTGGGCCGCGCGGCCCCGCCACCCCATCCTCACCCTACCATCGTTGTATGGGCAAACTTATGTTAAAACACAACTGTATGGCTAAGACTAAATAAAACATACAAGCCATATATGAATTTCTGGAATGAAAGTAACTACTATATTAAAATATATCATAGGAATCCTTTGAAAACAAATATGTTCAAATAATATTTATTATATCAAAATATTTGTAAACAGCTTTCTTCAGTAGAAGTAAGGCAATACAGTATGTGAATGAGTACAGAGTGAAGACTAGTGGCCAGTGTGCTTACATCAGTGCCGTTGAAGCCAGGAGGACCCATGGGGCACACCACCTCACACTGCTCAGGTCCCACCTGGTCAGTGACCGTCGGCTGCACCTGTCGCAGCTGTACCAACACATAACAACACATTACTTACTCAAATTTACAAGCATCATTGAGAGCTATACGAGGCATTTATAAAAATGTCATGTATGAAAATGTTGGTATGAACCAATCCTTAACTTGGTGCAGATGGGACAATATTCATTAACTGAACATACACTTGAGTAGTGTCAGAGGGTTCGCTCAAGTAACTTCCAGCATTTGTAATGTGATACTAAATAATATATGACATTATACCTGCTAATACATTGCAAACCCACCCTAGTCAATGTTGACTTGGTGTACTCTAATCAATGTTGACTTGGTGCACTCTAGTCAATGTTGACTTGATGCACCCTAGTCAATGTTGACTATGTGCACCCTAGTCAATGTTGACTTGGTGCACTCTAGTCAATGTTGACTTGATGCACCCTAGTCAATGTTGACTATGTGCACCCTAGTCAATGTTGACTTGATGCACCCTAGTCAATGTTGACTATGTGCACCCTAGTCAATGTTGACTTGATGCACCCTAGTCAATGTTGACTATGTGCACCCTAGTCAATGTTGACTATGTGCACCCTAGTCAATGTTGACTATGTGCACCCTAGTCAATGTTGACTTGGTGCACCCTAGTCAATGTTGACTATGTGCACCCTAGTCAATGTTGACTTGATGCACCCTAGTCAATGTTGACTTGATGCACCCTAGTCAATGTTGACCATGTGCACCCTAGTCAATGTTGACTTGATGCACCCTAGTCAATGTTGACTTGGTGCACCCTAGTCAATGTTGACTATGTGCACCCTAGTCAATGTTGACTATGTGCACCCTAGTCAATGTTGACTTGATGCACCCTAGTCAATGTTGACTTGGTGCACCCTAGTCAATGTTGACTTGGTGCACCCTAGTCAATGTTGACTTGGTGCACCCTAGTCAATGTTGACTACGTGCACCCTAGTCAATGTTGACTATGTGCACCCTAGTCAATGTTGACTTGGTGCACCCTAGTCAATGTTGACTTGGTGCACCCTAGTCAATGTTGACTTGGTGCACCCTAGTCAATGTTGACTTGATGCACCCTAGTCAATGTTGACTATGTGCACCCTAGTCAATGTTGACTTGATGCACCCTAGTCAATGTTGACTATGTGCACCCTAGTCAATGTTGACTTGGTGCACCCTAGTCAATGTTGACTTGATGCACCCTAGTCAATGTTGACTATGTGCACCCTAGTCAATGTTGACTATGTGCACCCTAGTCAATGTTGACTATGTGCACCCTAGTCAATGTTGACTATGTGCACCCTAGTCAATGTTGACTATGTGCACCCTAGTCAATGTTGACTTGATGCACCCTAGTCAATGTTGACTATGTGCACCCTAGTCAATGTTGACTTGGTGCACCCTAGTCAATGTTGACTATGTGCACCCTAGTCAATGTTGACTTGGTGCACCCTAGTCAATGTTGACTATGTGCACCCTAGTCAATGTTGACTATGTGCACCCTAGTCAATGTTGACTTGATGCACCCTAGTCAATGTTGACTATGTGCACCCTAGTCAATGTTGACTATGTGCACCCTAGTCAATGTTGACTATGTGCACCCTAGTCAATGTTGACTATGTGCACCCTAGTCAATGTTGACTTGGTGCACCCTAGTCAATGTTGACTTGGTGCACCCTAGTCAATGTTGACTTGGTGCACCCTAGTCAATGTTGACTATGTGCACCCTAGTCAATGTTGACTATGTGCACCCTAGTCAATGTTGACTATGTGCACCCTAGTCAATGTTGACTTGGTGCACCCTAGTCAATGTTGACTATGTGCACCCTAGTCAATGTTGACTATGTGCACCCTAGTCAATGTTGACTTGGTGCATCCTAGTCAATGTTGACTACGTGCACCCTAGTCAATGTTGACTTAGTGCACCCTAGTCAATGTTGACTTAGTGCACCCTAGTCAATGTTGACTTAATGCACCCTAGTCAATGTTGACTATGTGCACCCTAGTCAATGTTGACTTAGTGCACCCTAGTCAATGTTGACTATGTGCACCCTAGTCAATGTTGACTATGTGCACCCTAGTCAATGTTGACTATGTGCACCCTAGTCAATGTTGACTTAGTGCACCCTAGTCAATGTTGACTTAGTGCACCCTAGTCAATGTTGACTATGTGCACCCTAGTCAATGTTGACTTAGTGCACCCTAGTCAATGTTGACTTAGTGCACCCTAGTCAATGTTGACTTGGTGCACCCTAGTCAATGTTGACTTAGTGCACCCTAGTCAATGTTGACTTAGTGCACCCTAGTCAATGTTGACTGCACAAAAGTAACTCGAGTAATATAGTTTAAGACATAAACAATCAGCCATCCTCAGCCAAGGGCTGCAGCCCAGCACATGTCTCCAAGGTGAAGGGGCCCCCTTAAGGTATGCGATGATGCCTTAAGGTGTACAAAGCTTTAAGAAATATGATGCTTTAATGTGTACGATGCTTAAGGTGTATGATGCATTAAGTTGTATGACACAAGGGTGTATGATGTGTTAATAATTCTCACACACACTCAAGACTTACACTGGTATTATCTGTAAAGCAAATTACTACTGTTATATATTATCATTTTGTACGTAGACTCAGGTTCAGTTAAGCTGTACCAGTTAAGCTGTACCATTTAACATTGTTTACAGTGAACCGTTTTTAATGTACATGTTACATATTGTTTGGAAACGAGTCCAACAATCAGATTAATCTAACAATTAACAATACTCAATTGATGAGCGAATTAGAAGGGAAGTTCCTTGGTGTTCACATTGACAACAAACTCAATTTCCATTGCCAAATACAAAGTTCTCTATTACCAAAAAGGTTTCTAAAACAGTAGGAATTCTCTCCAAAATCAGATACAGTACTATGTTCCTCGCCCTGACCTAGTTACTCGGTATTATTCACTCAATTTCCATATCTCACCTATGGTATCTGTGTCTGGTGATCCACCACCCTTAATATTACCCCTAGACCCATAATTACTCAACAAAAATCAGCAATTAGAACAATAACAAATTCCAGTCCCAGGCACCATTCTGCTCCATTAATGAAATCCTTGAACATGTTAAATATAAAGTCTCTAAACAGACTCTCAAGTGTTCTCTATATCGATACAACTCTGAATTGCAATGCCACTCTTGACCTTAAGCACTTCCTAGAAGGCTGTAATAGAACTCACGGTCGCCACATAAGAAGCAAATATCTCTTTTCACATTGCTAGAGTGAGATTCAACCAAAGCATAAATGCATCATAAATCAAGGGTCCCAAATTGTGGAATGACCTCCCAAATGTTGTCACAAACTGTGTGTCTCCCAACCAGTTTAAAAGAGAGATTAATAAATATTTACTTAATCTCATGTAATTAATATTATTTACTCAATATCATGTAACTAATTTCTCTCACATTTTTCCCTAATTTTAAGTTATTATTATGTTAATATTTTCTTACATTGTATATACTTATAAATGCCCTTTCTTTATTGTCATCTTTTTTTTTTGCAATTAATTTATAATGTATTTACTCATGTCCTTCTTTATCCTTGTTTATTTTTAAGTGTTGGCATCATTAACCTTAAATTATACTTTATTACTCTGTTATGTTCCAGCTGCTTTTCTAAATTACACCTTTGTATTTGCGTACAGTTATTGTTGTAAATAAACTACTGAACTGTGAAAGTTCAATACGGGCTCACCATAGCCCGTGCTACTTGGAACTTTTTGTTCCAAGTAGCGAGTCTTGAACAACAACAACATACTGAACTGTACTGTTGCTAGAGCTACTGACTCCATAATGTTATAGTCTCTGCCTGTCATTCTTAGTATCGACTTTGAACATGTTATTCATATGATATTTGTCTTGAATTTTCTAAATATTTTTAGCTTCTTGGTTAGTATTAAGAGTTTCCCCTTCACACCTTTAAATATATTTTTTCCCAAATTAATTTAAGTTTTGCGGGGATCGCTTTGTGTACGAATGGCTCATTAGTAGGTGTTACTCCAGTCCCTACAATTGTATATTACTTTTGGGCTCTTTGTTCACACATTCTTTTGAACAGAAACTTGAAAAAAATGAATTTTAATTTGAAGTTATTTGGGTTCCATTAGCACTTGAGAGTATTTATAGTTCAATTACAGCACAATTTTGGCATTGTGCTTGGAACATACTCTAGGAAGTTAATGGTCTGTGAAGAATTGTACGTAGATGTACATGTAGCAGTAGTTGTAGATGTATTGTACATACATAAGTGTATGTACACCTCTTTTTATTTCAGGGATATTCCTGTACGGGCCCTAAGCCTCTGGCTGGCTCACTAGGTACCTGTAGAATTATGTGTAATCTCTAAACCTTGTTGAACATTGCTGAACTGAAGAATTCTTGTGCAAATGATTAAGGACGGATTGTAAATGAAGAAAGTTTGTAAGATAAGATGTGTAATACGTACAGGAAGCTCTGAGCAGGTCTCCCGTTCAGGGCTGGAAGGGTCGCAGCTCATCACCATCCACTGCAGGTCAATCTGTGGAGGTGGTTAATGTCTGCCTTAATCCTCACACTAACATCTGGTATCCACTAACATATTAACAACCAAAACATGACAAATATGAAGCACTTGAAACAGTTGACACTGAAAAGTGAAGATAAAATATATGTACAGTACATGTATCGAAAACAAACGAATAAATTACGGGACATTGAGGCATGTAGAATGGTTTGTCCTCCAGCAATGGGTTATATAATGGCTGAATATTTAAATCGACACATATAATTAGTAACAATAAATATATAGATACTTTACAAGTACACTAAATACTTATGAACCCGGGTGAACAATCCGGGCTAACTCAGGTGTTCTCTTACACTGTTGGGGACTGTGTATAGTACTGTTGGGAACTGTGTATACCACTGTTGGGGACTGTGTATACCACTGTTGGGAACTGTGTATACCACTGTTGGGGACTGTGTATACCACTGTTGGGAACTGTGTATACCACTGTTGGGAACTGTGTATACCACTGTTGGGGACTGTGTATACCACTGTTGGGAACTGTGTATACCACTGTTGGGGACTGTGTATACCACTGTTGGGAACTGTGTATACCACTGTTGGGGACTGTGTATACCACTGTTGGGGACTGTGTATACCACTGTTGGGGACTGTGTATACCACTGTTGGGGACTGTGTATACCACTGTTGGGGACTGTGTATACCACTGTTGGGGACTGTGTATACCACTGTTGGGGACTGTGTATACCACTGTTGGGGACTGTGTATACCACTGTTGGGGACTGTGTATACCACTGTTGGGGACTGTGTATACCACTGTTGGGGACTGTGTATACCACTGTTGGGAACTGTGTATACCACTGTTGGGAACTGTGTATACCACTGTTGGGAACTGTCGTAACATCAACAATGCTCACTTACTGTCTGGAGGCCGTCCACGATCTCCAAGCTTAATTCAACAGCAGTTTGGTGTCAAGGGTGCTGCCCCATGGGTGGTGTCAAGGGTGCTGCCCCATGGGTGGTGTCAAGGGTGCTGCCCCATGGGTGGTGTCAAGGGTGCTGCCCCCATGGGTGGTGTCAAGGGTGCTGCCCCATGGGTGGTGTCAAGGGTGCTGCCCCCATGGGTGGTGTCAAGGGTGCTGCCCCATGGGTGGTGTCAAGGGTGCTGCCCCATGGGTGGTGTCAAGGGTACTGCCCCCATGGGTGGTGTCAAGGGTGCTGCCCCATGGGTGGTGTCAAGGGTGCTGCCCACATGGGTGGTGTCAAGGGTGCTGCCCCATGGGTGGTGTCAAGGGTGCTGCCCCATGGGTGGTGTCAAGGGTGCTGTCTCCATGGGTGGTGTCAAGGGTGCTGCCCCATGGGTGGTGTCAAGGGTGCTGCCCCATGGGTGGTGTCAAGGGTGCTGCCCCATGGGTGGTGTCAAGGGTGCTGCCCCATGGGTGGTGTCAAGGGTGCTGCCCCCATGGGTGGTGTCAAGGGTGCTGCCTTATGGGTGGTGTCAAGGGTGCTGCCCCATGGGTGGTGTCAAGGGTGCTGCCCACATGGGTGGTGTCAAGGGTGCTGCCCCATGGGTGGTGTCAAGGGTGCTGCCCCATGGGTGGTGTCAAGGGTGCTGCCCATGGGTGGTGTCAAGGGTGCTGTCTCCATGGGTGGTGTCAAGGGTGCTGCCCCATGGGTGGTGTCAAGGGTGCTGCCCCATGGGTGGTGTCAAGGGTGCTGCCCCATGGGTGGTGTCAAGGGTGCTGCCCCATGGGTGGTGTCAAGGGTGCTGCCCCCATGGGTGGTGTCAAGGGTGCTGCCTTATGGGTGGTGTCAAGGGTGCTGCCCCATGGGTGGTGTCAAGGGTGCTGTCTCCATGGGTGGTGTCAAGGGTGCTGCCCCATGGGTGGTGTCAAGGGTGCTGTCTCCATGGGTGGTGTCAAGGGTGCTGCCCCATGGGTGGTGTTAAGGGTGCTGCCCCATGGGTGGTGTCAAGGGTGCTGCCCCATGGGTGGTGTTAAGGGTGCTGCCCCATGGGTGGTGTCAAGGGTGCTGCCCCATGGGTGGTGTCAAGGGTGCTGCCCCATGGGTGGTGTCAAGGGTGCTGCCCCATGGGTGGTGTCAAGGGTGCTGCCCCATGGGTGGTGTCAAGGGTGCTGCCCCATGGGTGGTGTCAAGGGTGCTGCCCCATGGGTGGTGTCAAGGGTGCTGCCCCATGGGTGGTGTCAAGGGTGCTGCCCCATGGGTGGTGTCAAGGGTGCTGCCCCATGGGTGGTGTCAAGGGTGCTGCCCCATGGGTGGTGTCAAGGGTGCTGCCCCATGGGTGGTGTCAAGGGTGCTGCCCCATGGGTGGTGTCAAGGGTGCTGCCCCATGGGTGGTGTCAAGGGTGCTGCCCCATGGGTGGTGTCAAGGGTGCTGCCCCATGGGTGGTGTCAAGGGTGCTGCCCCATGAGTGGTGTCAAGGGTGCTGTCTCCATGGGTGGTGTCAAGGGTGCTGCCACATGGGTGGTGTCAAGGGTGCTCCCCCATGGGTGGTGTCAAGGGTGTTGCCCCCATGGGTGGTGTCAAGGGTGTTGCCCCATGGGTGGTGTCAAGGGTGCTGCCCCATGGGTGGTGTCAAGGGTGCTGCCCCATGGGTGGTGTCAAGGGTGCTGCCCCATGGGTGGTGTCAAGGGTGCTGCCCCATGGGTGGTGTCAAGGGTGCTGCCCCCATGGGTGGTGTCAAGGGTGCTGCCCCATGGGTGGTGTCAAGGGTGCTGCCCCATGGGTGGTGTCAAGGGTGCTGCCCCATGGGTGGTGTCAAGGGTGCTGCCCCATGGGTGGTGTCAAGGGTGCTGTCTCCATGGATGGTGTCAAGGGTGCTGCCACATGGGTGGTGTCAAGGGTGCTCCCCCATGGGTGGTGTCAAGGGTGTTGCCCCATGGGTGGTGTCAAGGGTGCTGCCCCATGGCTGGTGTCAAGGGTGCTGCCCCCATGGGTGGTGTCAAGGGTGCTGCCCCATGGGTGGTGTCAAGGGTGCTGCCCCATGGGTGGTGTCAAGGGTGCTGCCCCATGGGTGGTGTCAAGGGTGCTGTCTCCATGGGTGGTGTCAAGGGTGCTGCCCCATGGGTGGTGTCAAGGGTGCTCCCCCATGGGTGGTGTTAAGGGTGTTGCCCCCATGGGTGGTGTCAAGGGTGTTGCCCCATGGGTGGTGTCAAGGGTACTGCCCCCATGGGTGGTGTCAAGGGTGCTGCCCCATGGGTGGTGTCAAGGGTGCTGCCCCATGGGTGGTGTCAAGGGTGCTGCCCCATGGGTGGTGTCAAGGGTGCTGCCCCATGGGTGGTGTCAAGGGTGCTGCCCCATGGGTGGTGTCAAGGGTGCTGTCTCCATGGGTGGTGTCAAGGGTGCTGCCCCATGGGTGGTGTCAAGGGTGCTGCCCCATGGGTGGTGTCAAGGGTGTTGCCCCCATGGGTGGTGTCAAGGGTGCTGCCCCATGGGTGGTGTCAAGGGTACTGCCCCCATGGGTGGAGTCAAGGGTGCTGCCCCATGGGTGGTGTCAAGGGTGCTGCCTCCATGGGTGGTGTCAAGGGTTCTGCCCCATGGGTGGTGTCAAGGGTGTTGCTCCCATGGGTGGTGTCAAGGGTGCTGCCCCCACGGGTGTTGTCAAGGGTGCTGCCCCTATGGGTGGTGTCAAGGGTGCTGCCCCATGAGTGGTGTCAAGGGTGCTGACCTATGGGTGGTGTCAAGGGTACTGCCCCCATGGATGGTGTCAAGGGTGCTGCTCCCATTGGTGGTGTCAAAGGGGCTGCCCCATGTGTGGTATCAAGGGTGCTGCCCCATGGGTGGTGTCAAGGGTGCTGCCCCATGTGGGGTGTCAAGGGTGCTGCCTCCATGGGTGGTGTCAAGGGTGCTGCCCCATGGGTGGTGTCAAGGGTGCTGCCCCATGGGTGGTGTCAAGGGTGCTGCCGCCATGGGTGGTGTCAAGGGTGCTGCCCCATGGGTGGTGTCAAGGGTGTTGCCCCCATGGGTGGTGTCAAGGGTGCGGCCCCCATGGGTGGTGTCAAGGGTGCTGCCCCATGAGTAGTGTCAAGGGTGTTGCCCCCATGGGTGGTGTTAAGGGTGCGGCCCCCATGGGTGGTGTCAAGGGTGTTGCCCCCATGGATGGTGTCAAGGGTGCTGCCCTATGGGTGGTGTCAAGGGTACTGCCCCATGGGTGGTGTCAAGGGTGCTGCCCCATGGGTGGTGTCAAGGGTACTGCCCCATGGGTGGTGTCAAGGGTGTTGCCCCATGGGTGGTGTCAAGGGTACTGCCACATGGGTGGTGTCAAGGGTGCTGCCCCGTGGGTGGTGTCAAGGGTGCTGCCCCATGGGTGGTGTCAAGGGTGCTGCCCCATGGGTGGTGTCAAGGGTGTTGCCCCAATGGGTGGTGTCAAGTGTGCTGCCCCCATGGGTGGTGTCAAGGGTGCTGCCCCATGGGTGGTGTCAAGGGTGCTGCCCCATGGGTGGTGTCAAGGGTGCTGTCTCCATGGGTGGTGTCAAGTGTGCAGGACCTCTATAACATGCTAGAGGGAATCTTTAATGCATCCTAAGATGGTCAGTCATTGGCTACAAGAAGAAGTGAAGGTAAGGTTATCAGCGTAGAGGAGAAGGGGTCATGGAAGAGAAGGAAAAGGATGGGAAGAGGGTGGCTGGGGGGTGGGAGGAGAACGGAACTGGTGGGTTAGGGGATATGGATAGGGAGGGGCTAGCGGAAGAGAAGGTGGGTTGTAAGGGATGGAAGAAGGGATGAGAAAGTGTAACGGGAAGTGTAGGGGGTGGAAGGTGGGAAGGAGAGGGGACGGTAAGATAAAGGAAGGAGAGAGTTGGTGTTGGAGGAGCACAATACTGGAGAAGTAGGAGCGAGCACACAGGGAGGAGGCGAGGTGAGAGCAGTAAACAAGACAAGAGAGCTCCAGAGAAGACAAACTAGAGGTGAGGGACCGGCCCTATAAGCAGCTCACGCTCTTACTTACATCGTTCTTCTTCTTCTTCGGCCTCCTCTTGAAGGGAAAGGAGGGAAACTCCTGTTAGTCTCTACCTCGACCATGCAGTGTGAGGGGAAGGGTCTTGCAAAAATAAAATGATTATTAGTGTGAAGGTGAGTAAGTAAAGTGTGACCCAGAGTGAGGTAAGGACCCTTAGGAGAAGGACAGCTGGCTCAGCTGGCCACCACTGCTCACTCCCTTCACCTGCTCCTGGTTACCTCAACTCATTACCATTCTTCTACCATTGCACGGAGTGTCAGGTCAGGTCAAAAGCATCAGTTATTAATACCATAATTGTTGCAACAACCAGTTAGAGCTTTTTTATTTGTCTGTTCTCTTAAAAATTAAGGTAAAATATTCTGTTTGATCAAGGCTAACTTGCAGGGAGGCTTCGCAGTGTCTTTTTAGGAAGTCTTTAGCGATCATTAGTGCTAGTATTGTTAGGCACAGTGTGTATGTGTGTGTGTGTGTGTGTGTGTGTGTGTGTGTGTGTGTGTGTGTGTGTGTGTGTGTGTGTGTGTGTGTGTGTGTGTGTGTGTGTGTGTGTGTGTGTGTGTGTGTGTGTGTGTGTGTGTGTGTGTGTGTGTGTGTGTGTGTATCTATGTATGTATGTATGTATGTATGTATGTATGTATGTATGTATGTATGTATGTATGTATGTATGTATGTATGTATGTATGTATGTATGTGTGTGTGTACTCACCTAGTTGTGCTTGCGGAGGTTGAGCTCTGGCTCTTTGGTCCCGCCTCTCAACCGTCAATCAACAGGTGTACAGGTTCCTGAGCCTATTGGGCTCTATCATATCTACACTTGAAACTGTGTATGGAGTCAGCCTCCACCACATTGCTTCCTAATGCATTCCATTTGTCAACCACTCTGACACTAAAAAAGGTCTTTCTAATATCTCTGTGGCTCATTTGGGCACTCAGTTTCCACCTGTGTCCCCTAGTGCGTGTGCCCCTGGTGTTAAATAGCCTGTCTTTATCAACCCTGTCGATTCCCTTGAGAATCTTGAATGTAGTGATCATGTCCCCCCTAACTCTTCCGTCTTCCAACGAAGTGAGGTTCAATTCCCGTAGTCTCTCCTCGTAGCTCATACCTCTCAGCTCGGGTACTAGTCTGGTGGCAAACCTTTGAACCTTTTCCAGTTTGGTGTTATGCTTGACTAGATATGGGCTCCATGCTGGAGCCGCATACTCCAGGATTGGTCTGACATATGTGGTATATAATGTTCTGAAAGATTACTTACACAAGTTTCTAAAGGCCGTTCTTATGTTAGCCAACCTGGCATATGCTGCTGATGTTATCCTCTTGATATGAGCTTCAGGGGACAGGTCTGGCGTGATATCAACCCCCAGGTCTTTCTCTCTCTCTGACTCTTGAAGTATTTCATCTCCCAAGGGATACCTTGTATCTGGTCTCCTGCTTCCTACCCCTATCTTCATTACATTACATTTGCTTGGGTTAAACTCTAACATCCATTTGTTCGACCATTCCTGCAGCTTGTCCAGGTCTTCTTGAAGCCTCAAGCTGTCCTCCTCTGTCTTAATCCTTCTCATAATTTTGGCGTCGTCAGCAAACATTGAGAGGAATGAGTCTATACCCTCTGGGAGATCATTTACGTATATCAGAAACAGGATAGGTCCAAGCACAGAGCCCTGTGGGACTCCACTGGTGACTTCACGCCATTCTGAGGTCTCACCCCTCACTATAACTCTCTGCTTCCTATTGCTTAGGTACTCCCTTATCCACTGGAGCGCCCTACCAGTTACTCCTGCCTGTTTCTCCAGCTTATGCATCAACCTTTTATGGGGTACTGTGTCAAAGGCTTTCCGACAGTCCAAAAAAATGCAGTCCGCCCATCCTTCTCTTTCTTGCTTAATCTTTGTCACCTGATCATAGAATTCTATTAAGCCTGTAAGGCAAGATTTACCCTCCCTGAACCCATGTTGATGGGTTGTCACGAAGTCTCTTCTCTCCAGATGTGTTACTAGGTTTTTTTCTCACAATCTTCTCCATCACCTAGCATGGTATACAAGTTAAGGACACTGGCCTGTAGTTCAGTGCCTTTTGTCTGTCACCCTTTTTAAATATTGGTACTACATTAGCAGTCTTCCATATTTCTGGTAGGTCTCCCGTTTCCAGTGACCTACTATACACTATGGAGAGTGGCAAGCAAAGTGCTCCTGCACACTCTTTCAATACCCATGGTGAGATTCCATCCGGCCCAACAGCTTTTCTCACATCCAGCTCCAATAGGTGCTTCTTGACCTCATCTCTTGTAATTTCGAACCTTTCCAAGGTCACCTGGTTTGCTGCCACCTCTCCTAGCGCCGTGACTTCTCCCTGTTCTATTGTAAAGACCTCCTGGAACCTTTTGTTGAGTTCTTCACACACCTCTTTGTCATTCTGTGTACCTGTCCTCGCCCACCCTAAGTTTCATCACCTGTTCCTTCACTGTTGTCTTCCTCCTGATGTGACTGTGTAGTAGCTTTGGTTCGGTCTTGGCTTTATTAGCTATATCATTTTCATACCTTTTCTCAGCTGCTCTTCTCACATTAACATACTCGTTCCTGGTTCTCTGGTATCTCTCTCTACTTTCTGGTGTTCTGTTATTACGGAAGTTCCTCCATGCCCTTTTGTTCAGCTCCTTTGTTTTCATACATTCCCTATTAAACCACGGATTCTTCCTTTGCTTCTCTGTTTTTTCCTGTTGGGCTGGGACAAACCTGCTTACAGCCTCCTGACATTTTTGGGTGACATAGTCCATCATGTGTTGTACGGACTTGGTTCCGAGTTCTGTGTCCCAATGTATATCCCATAGGAATTTATTCATTTCCTCATAGTTTCCCTGTGTGTGTGTGTGTGTGTACTCACCTAGTTGTACTCACCTAGTTGTGTCTGCAGGATCGAGCATTGACTCTTGGATCCCGCCTTTCGAGCATCGGTTGTTTACAGCAATGACTCCTGTCCTATTGTCATGGGTTGTCACGTGTGTGTGTGTGTGTGTGTGTGTGTGTGTGTGTGTGTGTGTGTGTGTGTGTGTGTGTGTGTGTGTGTGTGTGTGTGTGTGTGTGTGTGTGTGTGTGTGTGTGTGTGTGTGTGTGTGTGTGTGTAATTACCTAAGTGTAGTTACAGGATGAGAGCTACGCTCGTGGTGTCCCGTCTTCCCAGCACTCTTTGTCGTGTAACGCTTTGAAACTACTGATGGTTTTGGCCTCCACCTTCTCACTTAACTTGTTCTAGCCGCCTACAACTCTGCAAAAGAAAATGTTCTAATTTTTTTTCGTTGCCTTTGTTTCCTTAGCTTGAATTTGTGTCCTCTTGTTCGTGAAGTTGCTGGTTTCAGGAATTTCTCCTTGCCAATTTGGTCGAATCCTGTTAGTATTTTGTAAGTGGTGATCATATTACCTCTTTTTCTTTTATGTTTTAGTTCTGGCCTGTTTAACGCCTCTAGTCTCTCCTCGTAACTCTTGTTTTCCAGTACCTGAAGCCCTTTTGTAGCATGCCCTTGCACCTTTTCCAGTTTCTTTATGTACATCTTGAGATTTGGGCACCAAGCAACTGCTGCATATTACAGTTTTGGTCTCACAAAAGTCATGAACAGTTTCTTTAGTATTTCACCATCAATATAATTAAAAGTAAGCCTGAAGCGACGAAAAGCGACACATACGCTCCTCTCACAATGTTCTCTATGTGTTCCTCTGGCGACAGCTTACTATCCTAAACCACCCTCAGGTCTCGTTTTTTATTAGAGTTCTGTAATTCCATTCCACATAATTTGTAAGTTGTGTGTTTTATGTTTCCTCCGAATCAACAATCCAAAACATGGCATTTGTTAACATTGAATTCCATTTGCCGCTTAACGACCCAAGCAATTATTGTATCTAGATAAGTTTGAAGGTCATTACAATCGTCTGCGTCTCCTGTCTTCCCCAGTATCTTAGCATCATCCTCAGACATGTTCATGTGCAGGCGATGAGTCACAATAACGTAGCTAAAGTAGTCGACAATCGCCTTGAGAATGGTCCAGGAGGGACCGAAACGTCGTCGTCCCTTCACCTTCTAGTGTGTGGTCTGGTCAACAAACATGCTCATATAATTCTGTATTCTGAATTTAGATACAATTCTATAACAAATGTTCCAGAGATGTGTAAATATTTCATTCAAAATGATCTGCTACCAGAAATTTTAGCCAAATATCCCCAGTTTGCTAACTGTAGGTAGTAACTAAGTGACTGTAACCTATCCACCGCTGCCCACTGGATGGGGGGCGGTGTGCAGGACAAACATATCAATTGTGACACTAGCTCTCCACATATGTCAGTTGCTTAATTTAGAAACTGTACTTGTGGTCGATCTCAAACCCATTGTTGATGTGACGATGTACATTAAATTTTGTAACTAGCTCAACAAGATTGTAACTTGCTTAGCTAAATGAATTGTGAGGTTCAGTCCCTGAGCCCATTATGTACCTCTCTAATCCTCTCCACTATCCATTTAAGAAATGTTCATTTGTTGTTAAATATGACTGAAAAAGTAAGATTAATAATTCTAACACGAAATTTCTCAAAATTTCTTATGTTTATTTTTACTGTCGATGGTAATTGAAAAATCAATTCTCCAAAATTCATTTTTATTTCTAGTCTGATACGATGCTTGAACGCGTTTCGTAATAACTTATTACATTTTCAAAGACTTTAGTTTACACACACACAACTGTAACCTGAAAACACTAAACAGTTTTACTTATTCTAACGCTAAACAGCTTGTCTTATATACTCGCATTTGGGTGAGGTGATATGTTGCAATAGTTTTGGATGAGGTGAACAAACTTTTGACCAACACAAGACAGAACACGGAACAATGGGTATTAATTGGATAAATGAGAGGGAAGAATGGAAGTAACTGCAAAGGTCCTATTGGCTCATACTTCCTCTTGATGCTTCTATATTGGTACGGAGTCTTGATATATAGATAATATAGAAGCATCAAGAGGAAGTATGGGCCAATAGGCCCTTTGCAGTTACTTCCATTCTTCCCTCCCATTTATCCAATTAATACCCATTGTTCCGTGTTCTGTCTTGTGTTGGTCAAAAGTTTGTTGGTCAAAAGTTGGCCTTTGTCACATCCAACTCTAGTAAACACTTCGTTACTTCCCCTCTGGTAATCTCAAACTCTTCCAGTGGTTCCTGGTTAACTATTCCCTCTATTATCTCTGGAATTTCTCCTTGCTCTAAGGTGAAGACCTCCTGGAATTTCTTATTCAGTTCCTCACACACTTCCTTGTCGTTTGTAGTGAATCCTTCTTCCCCTATCCTTAATTTCCTAACCTGTTCCTTTATTGTTGTTTTTCTCCTGATGTGGCTATCTTCTGCTCTCCAGTGTCCTGTTATTCCTATAGTTTCTCCATGCCCTTTTACTTTGCTGCTTAGCTAGCCTATATCTCTGATTAAACCACGGGTTTCTCATCTTCATTACACTGTTTTCATTTTGGACTGGGACAAACTTGTTTGCTGCGTCCTTGCACTTCTGCGTGATGTAGTCCATCATATCCTGGGCCGTCTTTTCCCTAAGCTCTGTTTCCCATGCTATATCTGTTAGGAATTTTATTATCCCCTCATAGTTTCCCTTTCGGTATGCTAACCTTTTGTTTTCGGTATCCCTCCTCGAGTTCAATATCCCTTCTTCAGTCAGGTACTCAAACACCAGTACACTGTGGTCGCTCATTCCTACCGGATCCTCAAAACCGATTTCTCTTATGTCGGAGAAATCGTGTGTGTGTGTGTGTGTGTGTGTGTGTGTGTGTGTGTGTGTGTGTGTGTGTGTGTGTGTGTGTGTGTGTGTGTGTGTGTGTGTGTGTGTGTGTGTGTGTGTGTGTGCTCACAGTCAGGTGTGACTGTCGTTCACTTTCAATGGGACATGTTTGGGTGGGATCACAGGCAGGTAGGTGTTCGTGTTCTCTAGTGGGTAGAGGTATGAGGCTAAGGTCAAAGGAGTTCAGTTGCTTCATATGCAGTTATCTTCTAGTCTTACAAATGCATTCACCAAAATAACAAATACATTATTATAAAAAAGTAATTTAAGAACAAAAACAATTGAATAACAAACATTAATAAAATGCAATTTAAATTATTGTTTTAATAAGAGTTGGTGACGAGGTAAGAAAATGCATGAAGGGGTGATTGGTGTATACTCACGGTAACTTAGCGTCCTCAGCCATACAATATATAGACAAGAGGTGAGATATATATATATATATATATACCTGTTGGGGGTGTGGGAAGTGGGACGGTGGCTGCACTTACTGGCAAGGTTCGAGACGAGTCTTGCAGCTTGGCAATCTGGATATTACCATTAACGTCAATAGGGCCGAAGGGGTCGATGGGCTCTTCACTGGTCCTCTCACAGTCGAGGTAGAGCATCACTCGGTCACGGAACACCCCGAAGTGCAGCTTGTGCCAAGTGGAGTCCACAGCGGTCTGAGGGATACGAACACACCTGTAAAACTTCCTGTGATAGATGTAAGGTGGTCAGGTGGTGTGTCCAACACCAGGTCAGGTGGTGTGTCCAACACCAGGTCAGGTGGTGTGTCCAACACCAGGTCAGGTGGTGTGTCCAACACCAGGTCAGGTGGTGTGTCCAACACCTGGTCAGATGGAGTGTCCAACACCAGGTCAGGTGGAGTGTCCAACACCAGGTCAGGTGGAGTGTCCAACACCAGGTCAGGTGGAGTGTCCAACACCAGGTCAGGTGGTGTGTCCAACACCAGGTCAGGTGGAGTGTCTAACACCAGGTCAGGTGGAGTGTCCAACACCAGGTCAGGTGGAGTGTCCAACACCAGGTCAGGTGGTGTGTCCAACACCAGGTCAGGTGGAGTGTCCAACACCAGGTCAGGTGGAGTGTCCAACACCAGGTCAGGTGGAGTGTCCAACACCAGGTCAGGTGGAGTGTCCAACACCAGGTCAGGTGGAGTGTCCAACACCAGGTCAGGTGGAGTGTCCAACACCAGGTCAGGTGGAGTGTCCAACACCAGGTCAGGTGGAGTGTCCAACACCAGGTCAGGTGGAGTGTCCAACACCAGGTCAGGTGGAGTGTCCAACACCAGGTCAGGTGGAGTGTCCAACACCAGGTCAGGTGGAGTGTCCAACACCAGGTCAGGTGGTGTGTCCAACACCAGGTCAGGTGGAGTGTCCAACACCAGGTCAGGTGGTGTGTCAACATTCTCATCATTCAAGCTCATCATAAAAGGTCATTACTGAACTCGTTCAAAGATGTGTTAACAAGAAAAAAGGAATAAATTCAAGATGAACATCATGGATTATGAGATATATAAAAGGGCATTAAATTCAGCTACCAAGGAAATCTGATAAGCCAAAGTAAATTACGAAAGAAAACTTGTCCAAAATATAAAAGAAGATCTAAAGTCATTCTATGCCTATATTAGATGTAAAACCAAAATAAAGGACTCTGTAAGACCCCTGAAGGATGAGACTAACCAAGTTATATTGGATGATAAAAGGGCACCAAACACTTTGAATGAATACTTTACATCAATGTTCTCACTAGAAAGATTAGACAACAACGCATCACTCACACAAATGTTTGCAGGAGGTGAAGAAAACGAATTAAGGGACATACCCATTACGTGCGACACAATCAGGAAGAGCATTGACAAACTAAATGACTCAAAAGCCCCTGGTGTGGATGGAATTCAATTCAAAGTCGAAAAGGAACTGCAGATGCACTATGCATACCACTGGAACTCCTTTACAGAAAATCCCTGGACCAAGGGACAGTCCCCCGAAGATTGGAAATATGCAAATGTTACTCCTATTTTCCAAAAAGGCAGAAAGAGCTCGGCAGAAAACTACCGTCCGATCAGCTTGGCATCACACATCTGCAAGCTCATGGAGAGAATCCTAAGGGAGGGAATCATTCAACATCTCACAGAGAACAATCTTGTAAAATCAACGCAACATGTACTTGTTAAACATAGAACCTGCCTTACTAATCTGCTCACATTTCTGGAAGCGGTAACTGGCTATTCAGACGATGGACTTCCGGTAGATGTAGATTACACAAACTTTGCTAAAGTTTTTTAAATGGGAAGGAATCTGACTGGGGAAATGTGTTAAGTGGGGTGCCACAGAGGTCCATTTTGCGGCCAGCCCTTTTAGTCATATACATCAGTGACATAGATGAGAATATTACAATCCACATCATCAAATTTGCAGATGACACTAAGATTCACCATAAAGTGTAAAGTGAAAATGATATTGAGGCAGTACAAGGAGATCTACATTAACTCCACAAACGGCCAGGACACTGGTAAATGCTATCTAATATTGATAAATGCAAGACCATGCATGTGGGACACAGTAACCCACGCCACGACTACCAAATTAACAGTATTACTCGTAGCAGATTGATGAAGAACAACACCATGAAGTTAATCTTCGTCATTTACAGAAAGTTGCACAACAAGTAGGAGCGGCAGTATAAAAAGCTAACCAAACCCTGGGAATAATCAAGAGTACCTTTGACTTTAAAGAAACGAAGGTGGTGATTCAGTTGTATAAGTCTCTGTTGCGCCCCCACCAGGACTGTTGCATCCAGGCATGGAGACCTCATCTTCACAAAGACATAGCATTATTGGCGAACGTTCAACACCGGGCAACAAAATAATTCCAGAGCTAAGTCAACTCTCATACCAGAAACAGTTGAGGGCCAGCGGGCTAACGACACTGCAAACCAGACATGGTAGGGCTGACCTCATCGAAACGATCAAAATACGGAACAATTTGGAGGATGTTAATCCGGACAACTTTTCCAAAAGGTCAGATGTAATACGAACAAGAAACAACGGGTTCAAGCTCAACAAGACACAATATAGGAATGAGAACAGACTTTCACTCACCGGGTTATAAACCCGTGGAACCGCCTACCCGCCAAAGCCGTAAATGACAAAAGTTTGCTGAACTTTAAAATCCAGTTTGAAAAACCATCAGGACAAAGGGGGAGGAGACCTTTGACAAGCCAGCGGCTTCCTGTCACCATCGATGCTACTAGTGTGTTAGTAGCCCACAGGTAAAGTCAGGTAAATTCTAACTTCACCGGCGATTCAATGATGCGGCCTCACTACCCAGCAGACACTGCGGCCTCACTACCCAGCAGACATTGTGGCCTCACTACCCAGCAGACACTGCGGCCTCACTACCCAGCAGACATTGAGGCCTCACAACCCAGCAGACACTGTGGCCTCACTACCCAGCAGACATTGTGGTCTCACAACCCAGCAGACATTGTGGCCTCACTACCCAGTAGACATTGTGGTCTCACTACCCAGCAGACACTGCGGCCTCACTACCCAGCAGACATTGAGGCCTCACAACCCAGCAGACACTGTGGCCTCACTACCCAGCAGACACTGCGGCCTCACTACCCAGCAGACACTGCGGCCTCACTACCCAGCAGACACTGTGGCCTCACTACCCAGCAGACACTGTGGCCTCACTACCCAGCAGACATTGTGGCCTCACTACCCAGCAGACATTGTGGCCTCACAACCTAGCAGACACTGTGGCCTCACAACCCAGCAGACATTGTGGCCTCACTACCCAGCAGACATTGTGGCCTCACTACCCAGCAGACATTGTGGCCTCACTACCCAGCAGACATTGTGGCCTCACTACCAGCAGACATTGTGGCCTCACTACCCAGCAGACATTGTGGCCTCACAACCCAGCAGACACTGTGGCCTCACTACCCAGCAGACATTGTGGCCTCACTACCCAGCAGACATTGTGGCCTCACTACCCAGTAGACATTGTGGTCTCACTACCCAGCAGACACTGCGGCCTCACTACCCAGCAGACATTGTGGTCTCACAACCCAGCAGACACTGTGGCCTCACGACCCAGCAGACATTGAGGCCTCACTACCCAGCAGACATTGTGGCCTCACAACCCAGCAGACATTGTGGCCTCACAACCCAGCAGACATTGTGGCCTCACTACCCAGCAGACATTGTGGCCTCACTACCCAGCAGACATTGTGGCCTCACTACCCAGCAGACATTGTGGCCTCACTACCCAGCAGACATTGTGGCCTCACTACCCAGCAGACATTGTGGCCTCACAACCCAGCAGACACTGTGGCCTCACTACCCAGCAGACATTGAGGCCTCACTACCCAGCAGACATTGTGGCCTCACAACCCAGCAGACACTGTGGCCTCACTACCCAGCAGACATTGTGGCCTCACAACCCAGCAGACACTGTGGCCTCACTACCCAGCAGACATTGTGGCCTCACAACCCAGCAGACACTGTGGCCTCACTACCCAGCAGACATTGTGGCCTCACAACCCAGCAGACAATGCGGCCTCACTACCCAGCAGACATTGTGGCCTCACTACCCAGCAGACATTGTGGCCTCACAACCCAGCAGACATTGTGGCCTCACAACCCAGCAGACAAGCCGGCCTCACTACCCAGCAGACATTGTGGCCTCACAACCCAGCAGACAAGCCGGCCTCACTACCCAGCAGACATTGTGGCCTCACAACCCAGCAGACAATGTGGCCTCACTACCCAGCAGACACTGCGGCCTCACTACCCAGCAGACACTGTGGCCTCACTACCCAGCAGACATTGTGGCCTCACAACCCAGCAGACACTGTGGCCTCACTACCCAGCAGACATTGTGGCCTCACAACCCAGCAGACACTGTGGCCTCACTACCCAGCAGACATTGAGGCCTCACTACCCAGCAGACACTGCGGCCTCACAACCCAGCAGACACTGTGGCCTCACTACACAGCAGATATTGTGGCCTCACAACCCAGCAGACACTGTGGCCTCACTACCCAGCAGACACTGCGAATTCACTACCCAGCAGACACTGTGGCCTCACTACCCAGCAGACATTGAGGCCTCACTACCCAGCAGACACTGTGGCCTCACAACCCAGCAGACACTGTGGCCTCACTACCCAGCAGACACTGAGGCCTCACTACCCAGCAGACATTGTGGCCTCACAACCCAGCAGACACTGTGGCCTCACTACCCAGCAGACATTGTGGCCTCACAACCCAGCAGACACTGTGGCCTCACTACCCAGCAGACAATGCGGCCTCACTACCCAGCAGACACTGCAAACTCACTACCCAGCAGACACTGTGGCCTCACTACCCAGCAGACACTGCGGCCTCACTACCCAGCAGACACTGTGACCTCACAACCCAGCAGACAAGCCGGCCTCATAACCCAGCAGACATTGTGGTCTCACAACCCAGCAGACATTGTGGCCTCACTACCCAGCAGACATTGAGGCCTCACAACCCAGCAGACATTGAGGTCTCACTACCCAGCAGACATTGAGGCCTCACAACCCAGCAGACATTGAGGCCTCACTACCCAGCAGACATGAGGCCTCACAACCCAGCAGACATTGAGGCCTCACAACCCAGCAGACACTGCGAACTCACTACCCAGCAGACACTGTGGCCTCACTACCCAGCAGACATTGAGGCCTCACTACCCAGCAGACATTGTGGCCTCACTACCCAGCAGACATTGTGGCCTCACAACCCAGCAGACATTGAGGCCTCACAACCCAGCAGACATTGTGGTCTCACTACCCAGCAGACATTGTGGCCTCACTACCCAGCAGACATTGAGGCCTCACAACCCAGCAGACATTGAGGCCTCACTACCCAGCAGACATTGAGGCCTCACTACCCAGCAGACACTGTGGCCTCACTACCCAGCAGACATGAGGCTTCACAACCCAGCAGACATTGAGGCCTCACAACCCAGCAGACACTGCGAACTCACTACCCAGCAGACACTGTGGCCTCACTACCCAGCAGACATTGAAGCTACACTACCCAGCAGACATGGAGGCCACACTACCATGCAGACATTGAGGCCACACTACCCAGCAGACATTGAGGTCTCACTAACCAGCAGACATTGAGGCCACACTACCCAGCAGACACTGCAGCCTCACTACCCAGCAGACACTGCGGCCTCACTACCCAGCAGACATGGAGGCCACACTACCATGCAGACATTGAGGCCACACTACCCAGCAGACATGGAGGCCACACTACCCAGCAGACATGGAGGCCACACTACCCAGCAGACATGGAGGCCACACTACCCAGCAGACATGGAAGCCACACTACCCAGCAGACATGGAGGCCACACTACCCAGCAGACATTGAGGCCACACTACCCAGCAGACATGGAGGCCACACTACCCAGCAGACATGGAGGCCACACTACCCAGCAGACATGGAGGCCACACTACCCAGCAGACATGGAGGCCTCACTACCCAGCAGACATGGAGGCCACACTACCCAGCAGACATTGATGCCTCACTACCCACCACCACGTCACACCAGACTCCACCAGCACCACGTCACACCAGACTCCACCAGCACCACGTCACACCAGACTCCACCAGCACCACGTCACACCAGACTCCACCAGCACCACGTCACACCAGACTCCACCAGCACCACGTCACACCAGACTCCACCAGCACCACGTCACACCAGACTCCACCAGCACCACGTCACACCAGACTCCACCAGCACCACGTCACACCAGACTCCACCAGCACCACGTCACACCAGACTCCACCAGCACCACGTCACACCAGACTCCACCAGCACCACGTCACACCAGACTCCACCAGCACCACGTCACACCAGACTCCACCAGCACCACGTCACACCAGCACCACGTCACACCAGACTCCACCAGCACCACGTCACACCAGACTCCACCAGCACCACGTCACACCAGACTCCACCAGCACCACGTCACACCAGCACCACGTCACACCAGACTCCACCAGCACCACGTCACACCAGACTCCACCAGCACCACGTCACACCAGACTCCACCAGCACCACGTCACACCAGCACCACGTCACACCAGACTCCATCAGCACCACGTCACACCAGACTTGACCAGCACCACGTCACACCAGACTCCACCAGCACCACGTCACACCAGACTCCACCAGCACCACGTCACACCAGACTCCACCAGCACCACGTCACACCAGCACCACGTCACACCAGACTCCACCAGCACCACGTCACACCAGACTCCACCAGCACCACGTCACACCAGACTCCATCAGCACCACGTCACACCAGACTCCACCAGCACCACGTCACACCAGACTCCACCAGCACCACGTCACACCAGACTCCATCAGCACCACGTCACACCAGACTCCACCAGCACCACGTCACACCAGACTCCACCAGCACCACGTCACACCAGACTCCATCAGCACCACGTCACACCAGACTCCACCAGCACCACGTCACACCAGACTCCATCAGCACCACGTCACACCAGACTCCACCAGCACCACGTCACACCAGACTCCATCAGCACCACGTCACACCAGACTCCACCAGCACCACGTCACACCAGACTCCATCAGCACCACGTCACACCAGACTCCACCAGCACCACGTCACACCAGACTCCACCAGCACCACGTCACACCAGCACCACGTCACACCAGACTCCACCAGCACCACGTCACACCAGACTCCACCAGCACCACGTCACAAGCTTTCACGTCACGTCGTCACTAATAACCAACTTCTGTAACCAAGACTATATTAAATAACCTTAAAGAAAAACAAAACAATTATTTTTGTGTAATGTTGTCAGGCAAAAATGTGTGGGTTATAGGTGTGTCTTGATGTACAGATGTGTAATGATGTACAGGTGTGTGATGACGTACAGGTGTGTCTTGACGTACAGGTGTGTGATGATGTACAGGTGTGTAGGTGCAGGTGTACAAACCTGAGCCTGCTTGAACTCGAGCGTCTGGAGTGTTCCGTCGAAGGAGATGATGGAGAACTCCACATTCCTGGTCCTGGGGTTGAGGGTGATGGCGAACTGCGTCTCGTCCCTCAGGTCGTTGATGCGGATCAGGTCCCAGGGCACCTGAGGGCTGCCCCGGGCCTTGTACGTGCAGATGAGAGAGAACTCCTGCGGCAGCCCCAGCGGGAAGATGTCCCTGCAACACCATGCAACTCATCAACACAACATGTTCAACACACTTTATTGTATGCATATTACCTCAAATGGTCAAATTTAATACAAAAAATACATTTTCTTAAAATATTGACGTATGGTAGAAAATCGTATTTTCTGGCCGTCTGTTTTCAGTGAGTTGAGACCAATGGTTTGAGATATTCTGAGCTCTGTATACACTCCTCATGCTGTATATTATTCGTAAGTCATCATTATTCGTGAGTGTATACTTCATACACTCACGAATAATGGAAGATATTCTTGTGTTTTAAACTCAGTTTGCTAATATTAGAAGAACTCATAGCTAACCTTTGATTTGCCTTGCGCACTCCACCACACAGCACAATGCAGCAGCAGCAGCGTAGTGCTGTGCTGTGCTGTGCTGTGCTGTGCTGTGGTGTGCTGTGCTGGGTACAGTTGTGACTGATTAAACAGCTGTCATAGTGCAGGGAGGCGTCCCATGTTACTGTTTGATTTGGTTATATTTATTTATAAAAAGTAAAGTACAATGGGTTGTTTTATTACACATTGAGAGGATTAAGAGGTACATTCATGGGTGTGTCTCAACTGAAGACCAGGTGAGATAGGACGGTATATCTGGCCTTTAACTGCCTCTCTCAACCATTACTAAATTAATGTTCATTAATTACTGAAGTCTGTTAAACAAACGGCCTATAGCTCAGGAGCCTGTTAACAGCTAAATTTGTAATCAGTTCGCTTGTTTACTATTAATAGAAATAAATCACAATGGTTTGTTGACAAACACTGATGCAATCTGTGATGTGATGAGTGTCACAATGAAGCAGTAGGACTGAACATTGAACTGTCACACTCTTCATCATTTCCTTCAATATTCTCAGTTATGACTCATCATAACACAGGTTCAATTTCAACAGCTTTTCCAAATGATTGAATGTGACCCGAACTTGACCCGGAACGTTAAAGAACAACCTGCGATTTAATTTAAATATAGCTATAATGTTAAGGTTAGACATTAAATTAAAAGAATCCTGTATGCTCGTGGCTCATCATCATATTTACCAGAATTTACCTGAGAGCGGCGATATGTCTAGGGACCCTGAACGAGGGCAGGAAGCCGGCAGCTTGTCAAAGGTCTCCCCACCAGCAGGATTTATAAACTCAACAATGTTTTGGCAGATAATACACACCAAGACAATGAAAGTATCATCAGAGACCATTTTAGTATTGGCAATATATCACTTTGAACAGTTTAAAGGTTTATAATATTGTGTGGTTTGGTAACCTGGTGGCAATCTGGAGGTCGGCGTCTCCCTTGAGCCGGTAGGCCGTCTGCATGCGGTTCGAACCCCGGACACGCCTCACGCCGGGGTAACTCTGCTCCAAGACATCCAGGCGGAACTTGCGGATGAAGTCAAAGGCTTGTAGGTCGTCCTCCCCGGGCTGGTAGTCAGCACACGGCCCGTTCAGCTCGTCGTAGGTGTCGTACTCTGCACCAGAGAGGTAATGGAACTCAGGTGATGTAAGGAAAGTGAGTGAATCAAGCACTCACATGGTTGTAAGAGTGATTAAGACTGCTACACACCTGTGTACACCTGCCACCACTACAATAATCTCTATAACTTGTTACGAACAAACTTTCTCACCCTCATAATTACAACATCTATATCCTATGCTGTTATTGTGACATAACACTGTAATTAATAAACTGCAATTTTGATGAAACATTTTCAACTATAAATGTACCATAACTTGTTAATATTTTTTTGTTTAATTTTATTTAATTTGAAGGTGTTTGGGTCAAGTCTTAAAGCTATCACAGACTTTATGAAGAATTATACACATCAAGCCGATAGTCAGTCTTAAAAACTTGATATTGTGACACGGATATAGAGACAGGTAATGACTTCACAGAGTGACAACATTGACATCAAGTGATACTAGGATATTATATTGAATTTATTGTAGTTATTGAGAGTTATGTCCTGGGATGAGTTATTTACGTGCACGGGTGGTGGGAGAGACCTATGTGCACGTGTGTTGGGAGGGAATTACGTACATGAGTGAGGTGAGAGTCTTACGTGTATGAGTAAAGTGAGAGAACTTACGTGCATGAGTGAGGTGAGAGATACTTACGTGCACGAGCGAGGTAAGAGAGACTTACGTGCACGAGTGAGGTGAGAGAACTTACGTGCATGAGTGAGGTGAGAGAACTTACGGGCATGAGTAAGTTGAGAGAACTTACGTGCAGGAGTAAAGTGAGAGAACTTACGTGCACGAGTGAGATGAGAGAGACTTACGTGTATGAGTAAGTTGAGAGAACTTACGTGCATAAGTGAGGTGAGAGAACTTACGTGTATGAGTAAAGTGAGAGAACTTACGTGTATGAGTAAAGTGAGAGAACTTACGTGTATGAGTAAAGTGAGAGAACTTACGTGCATGAGTGAGGTGAGAGAACTTACGTGCATGAGTGAGGTGAGAGAACTTACGTGCATGAGTGAGGTGAGAGAACTTACGGGCATGAGTAAGTTGAGAGAATTTACGTGCAGGAGTAAAGTGAGAGAACTTACGTGCATGAGTGAGGTGAGAGAACTTACGTGCATGAGTGAGGTGAGAGAACTTACGTGCATGCGTGAGGTGAGAGAACTTACGTGCATGAGTAAAGTGAGAGAACTTACGTGCATGAGTAAAGTGAGAGAACTTACGTGTATGAGTAAAGTGAGAGAACTTACGTGCATGAGTGAGGTGAGAGAACTTACGTGCATGAGTAAAGTGAGAGAACTTACGTGCATGAGTAAAGTGAGAGAACTTACGTGCATGAGTAAAGTGAGAGAACTTACGTGTATGAGTAACGTGAGAGAACTTACGTGCATGAGTGAGGTGAGAGAACTTACGTGCATGAGTAAAGTGAGAGAACTTACGTGTATGAGTAAAGTGAGAGAACTTACGTGCATGAGTGAGGTGAGAGAACTTACGTGCATGAGTAAAGTGAGAGAACTTACGTGTATGAGTAAAGTGAGAGAACTTACGTGCATGAGTGAGGTGAGAGAACTTACGTGCATGAGTGAGGTGAGAGAACTTACGTGCATGAGTGAGGTGAGAGAACTTACGTGCATGCGTGAGGTGAGAGAACTTACGTGCATGAGTGAGGTGAGAGAACTTACGTGCATGCGTGAGGTGAGAGAACTTACGTGCATGCGTGAGGTGAGAGAACTTACGTGCATGAGTGAGGTGAGAGAACTTACGTGCATGCGTGAGGTGAGAGAACTTACGTGCATGCGTGAGGTGAGAGAACTTACGTGCATGCGTGAGGTGAGAGAACTTACGTGCATGCGTGAGGTGAGAGAACTTACGTGCATGAGTGAGGTGAGAGAACTTACGTGCATGAGTGAGGTGAGAGAAGAGCAGCAGCTGGAGCAACACCGCCACAGCCTCGCCCACAACACTCCCGCCGCCTCTGAAACACAACAAAACACTACTTTATATACGAAGTATAACACGTATATTGACACGAATATTATGTTCAAGGTCCGTGAAGTGCAACCTGCCCCCACACCCCAGACAGTAGCGCCGCCCCCCTCACACCCCAGACAGTAGCGCCGCCCCCCTCACACCCCAGACAGTAGCGCCGCCCCCTCACACCCCAGACAGTAGCGCCCCCCCCTCACACCCCAGACAGTAGCGCCGCCCCCTCACACCCCAGACAGTAGCGCCGCCCCCTCACACCGCAGACAGTAGCCGGCCCCCCCTCACACCCCAGACAGTAGCGCCGCCCCCCTCACACCCCAGACAGTAGCGCCGCCCCCCTCACACCCCAGACAGTAGCCGCCCCCCCCCTCACACCCCAGACAGTAGCGCCGCCCCCTCATACCCCAGACAGTAGCGCCGCCCCCCCTCATACCCCAGACAGTAGCGCCGTCCCCCCTCACACCCCAGACAGTAGCGCCCCCCTCACACCCCAGACAGTAGCGCCCCCCTCACACCCCAGACAGTAGCGCCGTCCCCCCTCACACCCCAGACAGTAGCGCCCCCCTCACACCCCAGACAGTAGCGCCCCCCCTCACACCCCAGACAGTAGCGCCGCCCCCTCACACCCCAGACAGTAGCGCCCCCCTCACACCCCAGACAGTAGCGCCCCCCCTCACACCCCAGACAGTAGCGCCGTCCCCCCTCACACCCCAGACAGTAGCGCCCCCCTCACACCCCAGACAGTAGCGCCCCCCTCACACCCCAGACAGTAGCGCCGCCCCCTCACACCCCAGACAGTAGCGCCCCCCTCACACCCCAGACAGTAGCGCCGTCCCCCCTCACACCCCAGACAGTAGCGCCCCCCTCACACCCCAGACAGTAGCGCCCCCCTCACACCCCAGACAGTAGCGCCCCCCTCACACCCCAGACAGTAGCGCCCCCCTCACACCCCAGACAGTAGCGCCCCCCTCACACCCCAGACAGTAGCGCCGCCCCCTCACACCCCAGACAGTAGCGCCCCCCTCACACCCCAGACAGTAGCGCCCCCCCTCACACCCCAGACAGTAGCGCCGCCCCCTCACACCCCAGACAGTAGCGGCCCCCCCCCTCACACCCCAGACAGTAGCGCCGCCCCCCCTCACACCCCAGACAGTAGCGCCGTCCCCCCTCACACCCCAGACAGTAGCGCCCCCCTCACACCCCAGACAGTAGCGCCCCCCTCACACCCCAGACAGTAGCGCCCCCCTCACACCCCAGACAGTAGCGCCCCCCTCACACCCCAGACAGTAGCGCCGCCCCCTCACACCCCAGACAGTAGCGCCCCCCCACACACCCCAGACAGTAGCGCCCCCCCCGCACACCCCAGACAGTAGCGCCGCCCCCTCACACCCCAGACAGTAGCGGCCCCCCCCTCACACCCCAGACAGTAGCGCCGCCCCCCCTCACACCCCAGACAGTAGCGCCCCCCCCTCACACCCCAGACAGTAGCGCAGCCCCCTCACACCCCAGACAGTAGCGGCCCCCCCCTCACACCCCAGACAGTAGCGCCGCCCCCTCACACCCCAGACAGTAGCGCCGCCCCCTCACACCCCAGACAGTAGCGCCGCCCCTCACGCTTTAAGGGAAGGGGGACAACCGCCCCCGCCCTGCCAGTTGGAAATGTTGAGTCGTGTTGTTTACGACTGGGCGGATGGACTACACTTCTTCGGCAGATAATATCACCACCAGAAATATGAACGGGACACTAACTGTGTCCCGTTAGTGTATGCTGGGAACCTCGACAGTGTTATACGACTACGAGTGTTCTCTACAGTGTCATTACAAGATCAAGGGTAATGTGTGTTGTCCTTGTTATTCTTGTAAGAGATTGTTCAGGTGTTCCGTATCCTCTCGCTTCAACACGTGGATGATGGCAGACATCCAGATGGTGAAGAAGAACACCTGGTTCTTACTCTACACCTGGATGAAGAACATCCAGACGAAAAACTATAATGGTTAGAGCAGGAGCGTCTGGTTGGGCATCACATACATCAGTCAGGCTTGCTAAGAGGGTACTCTTAGCAGCTGGAGGGAGGCTTGGCATCAGACAATGCTTGGCTCTGGTGGTGAAAGAGTTCCAGACTCCGGCCCTCGTCTGACATACAATGTAATCCGGCGAGAATAATCCAGTGTTGGTCGTCAGTGGTCACTTGACACTTCCCATGCTTGCAGCATTTGGTCTGGGCCTTCACCACAGGTTTCTATTTCCTCCTACGCAACCACCTTCACCTTCGTCTCGACGCTGCACGACCGGTCATTGTCTTTGCGTCAAGGACAACATAGTCCAAGTTTTTGTTAATGGAAGGGGTTGCCAAGATCTTCTATTACGTTCAAGAGTGAGCGAACATGTCCAGCAAATGAAGTCTGGGTGTTGGGTGGTGGTGACGGGCTACCATTCACCCCCCCCCCCTGGCATCTTCTATCGTCCTGGCAACCTCTGGTCCAGCAACCATTCCACAGCGAAGGGCACACTGGTTGTCAGTAAGGTCAACTGCTCCGTTGTCACCTTTGATGAGAGTGTTGTTGTTCTCAAGTGTCTGGTCAGTGAGGACGGAGGAGGAACATCTTCCTCGCCGTCTACAACGTGACATCGCCAGTCTGAGCTCCGTGGCCACATGCTGTGGTGTGGGAATATCAGTATTGTGACGCTGGTAAACATGTGACATAGTTGGTGTTGTCCAGGGCGTGAAGAGGACGAGCTCTGTCAGGCACAGTGGAACACGTTGTAAAGTGTAGACGACGAGACACAGCCCCATTCCTTTCCATTTTTGTGAGACACAATAACGGGGCTGAAGTTATGATGGCCAAAGCCAGAAAAGGAAGAAAGGACGACGTTTCCGCCGTCAATTCTCCAAGTGCAAACTCTGTCAGCAGGAACTGGGGCAAGGTCTCGAACACACAGTGATTTTTTTATTAACACATTTAGGTACATCTGCATTTGTACAGCTACCCTAGACTATATGAAGAGTGTGTACAGAGTGTGTCAAAAAGCTGGTTACGTGATGCTAAAAAATCCCCATCACACAGGATGGTTAGTCAGTCAGAGGCATGTGATAAGTAGTCTGCACTGGCAGACTCTGGGTGCTTTATGAGGATATTGTCATCAACACAAGAGTGAATAAGGAAGCAGTGGTACTATACGTACCACAAAGTGATTTTTTGTTATTAATACATTAGGTACATCTCCATTTGTGCAGCTACCCTAGACCACAAATTGATTTTTTTTATTAATACATGAGGTACATCTGCATTAGTGCAGCTACCCTAGACTATATGAAGTGGAGTACAGTGTGTCAAAAAAAGCTAACTAGGTGATGCTAAAAACATCCCCATCACACAGGATGGTTAGTCATACAGAGGCATGTGATAAGTTGGCAGACTCCGGATGCATTTTGAGGATATCATCAACACAAGAGTGAATCAGGTAGCAGTGGTAATAAAAGTACCCCATCTCGCAGGATGGTTAGTCATACAGAGCCATGTGTTTAATAGCCTGGACTGGCAAATTTTGGGTACACTGTGAGGATATCTTCAAGAATACGAGAGTGAATAAAGTAATTGCAAAGCTCCAGGTACCTCATGCCAACTGGTCTGAAAAGTCTAATAACTGGGCATTCGGTGATGTAGTGTGGGAGATCGTGCCGTAGTTCCTGCTCACAGAGTTTGCAACTGGGGTGCTCAGGATTGGGAGACCCGTCACCTGCAGCCACCTGCCACAGGTAACGGTAACCCAACCTGATCCTGGCAACTACTATGTCGCACAGCCTGGTGGACGTTTTGTGCTGCCCATAAATATAGGTTTCAGATCTGAACAAACCATAGCTTCTTATACTAGTACTTTCAGGTCGTTGGGAGTCAGTAATTTCTTTCCTATCAGACCTGAGTGTTAAAACCAATACAGTTTTGACAGCAGAGATGGGGATACCTAGATCTAATTCAACTTCATCTTTGTTGCACGCTAATTTAGTGATTTTTTTATTAAGATATGAGGTGCATCTGCATTAGTGTAGCTACCCTAGACTATATGAAATGGAGTACAGTGTGTCAGAAAAAAGCTAACTAGGTGATGCTAAAAAATCCCCATCACACAGGATGGTTAGTCATACAGAGGCATGTGATAAGCAGTCTGCACTGGCAGACTCCGGATGCATTTTGAGGATATCATCAACACAAGATTGAATAAGGTAGCAGTGGTAATGCAAGTCCCTATCTCGCAGGATGGTTAGTCATACAGCCATGTGTTTAGTTTAGTGAAAACCAGCAAAGCGATTCGAAAGTCTAAGGAGGACGCCCGTCGCGTTTCAATACCCAAGAGTTAGAGGTGTGATGACTCAGGCAACGACACGGGCAAGTGTATTTCCAGCTCACCAGATGATTTTCTGTAGAGAGATACTTTCAGGACTGTGAGGTACCTTACTACCTCACAGTGAGGTAGTGAGGCATGGTGTCTTCATGAGTCTTAATGTGAGGCAGGAGAAATTTTAAACTACACATTATTTTTCCAGAGTACATCACCCTTCAAATTATAAACTAAATGTTACTCATTTTATGTTAAAAATGTGCAGTTTGATTTTTGACTAATGTACACCGTAATGGGATGTACACAGTTCACCCCGTACTGTGTTAGTACTGTGAGGAGGTTGTGAGTGACGAGTACCTGGTTGATACCTGGTTGATGGGGTTCTGGGAGTTCTTCTACTCCCCAAGCCCGGCCCGGGGCCAGACTTGACTTGTGAGAGTTTGGTCCACCAGGCTGTTGCTTGGAGCGGCCCGCAGGCCCACATACCCACCACAGCCCGGTTGGTCCGACACTCCTTGAAGGAAACAATCTAGTTTCCTCTTGAAGATGTCCACGGTTGTTCCTGTAATATTTCTGATGCTCGCTGGGAGGACGTTGAACAACCGTGGACCTCTGATGTTCATACAGTGTTCTCTGATTGTGCCCATGGC